CCTGAGTCAGGGGTGTGAGGGCAAGCAGAGCTGGCTCCTGTGGAGAGGCTGGGGTGGGACCATGGCTTTGGTCCCTACGGGAAGGGATGCAGTGGTTACCTGAAGTGGGTACACTGCCACTCTGAAAATCATCATTCTGTTTAAACAGAGTTTTTGTAGTTTCTGGGGATTTTTTTGCACTATCCTGAAGATGCATGAAACCTGCGCTGCTCAGAATGCAGTGGCTGGATTGTCACAAGCAGAAACTATTGGGATTTTTTGCCTCCCTCACCTTGAAGGCTCTGCGCTCATCTTAAGGCTTTTCTGTCAATTCCATGCAGGCAGTGAAATTGAAATAAGTTACAGTATGAGGTGAAACATCTTCTTTGCATTGTCAGGGCAAGCCATTGGAGTAGCTTCACATCTTTCTCTGTAGTTTGGCTTATCATTGCTGTTATCAGTTGAAGGGATTTTAGTTGATTTTTTACAGAAGGCTCTGTTGACTATGTGTTATTGACATATTCTTATCTTAAAACCATTATCATGTTAAAGCTCTGGATTTAGAAACTAATTACAAAACATTAATAGCTAAGCCCTAAGAGCTAAGTCATGCAAATATTGCTATCTGTAAAGTTGAACATACAAAAACTGTTTGAACTGCTGACTTAGTAACTGGAGTCTAAAAGCAATCTGTAAGGTGGCAATAAATCTGAGCACAATCCTCCACAATTGTTTTCTAATGTGTCCATGAAATTAATGGTACAGTTGTTATGAAAGTTGTATCAGGGAACGTGGCCATTTTTTTCTCCAACTAGGTTAATTATCACTAATGTAATTATTTTTGTACTGATTTTTATTTTAATCAAACATTGCACGGAACAATTTAGTTCAGAACAAATAGCTCATTATGGTAATGTTTGTGGTGGTGAGAAAAAAAGTGGCAATATTTAAATTATACTCATATACTGAGTTACTTTATTCATTAGAATGAACAATTATGATAGGCCTTTTGAGACAGACTAAGCATTTCTTGTTAATGTTTGTTCTGTAGTGAACATAATGAGAATTTATATTGGAAATAGATCCCATCCCTCTAGCTCTAGGTGTTTATGAACTGGGCAATACGTAGGAGTTGGGAGAGCGTGGGGAAAATAAGAACCAAAGTTAACCCCTAACTAAGACAAATGCTGCATTACCCTGTGGTTGTGGGGAAGGCCCTGGATCTGGGAGGGAGCCTTTTCTTTTGTTTTTTAGTTTGTTTGTTCAGTTTTGAATTTTCCCTCTGTACTGTAGTGGTAGGGCAAAGCATAGTGTACCAGTTTAACGTCGTGGCTCTGCTGAATCCAAGTACCATAAAGCAGAGCCAACTTCAAAGTTTATCCTTAGCATGCTTATCCTCTGTGTGCTATTTCTATATATGAAATGGAAAGTTCTACATAAAAACAACTTTTGTATTAATTGCTCTGTCTCATGATTTATGAAATTGTTTACTGCTTTCTAGATTATGATGAGCATTTTCATAATCACTTTTTGATTATGGGTTAAGAGTTTATTATATTTGCTTACAGAAATGTAGGACTTATAAATATACAGCACTCTTCCTCCATGGCTCTCAGGGATTTTTATAAGTGTTTGTGACAAACACAATTGACAGTACCTCCAGCTTATAGATGGGAAAATGGAAGAAAAAACATACATGAAGTGCCTTGCCCACGTTGATCAAACTGGCCTGGGAGCAGGGTCAGCAAAAAAGCACGGACCTCCTGAGTGCTTGATCTGCCCTTTCTCTAGTTAATATTTTAATCTCTGTTTTTAGTAGACGTGGTTTAGTTATGAATCTTGGCGGGCAAGGCTGGTTGTGCATTGAAACAATGGTTTTGGAAATCATCATTCTCAAAACCATTTTTACTTCTGTTACATCTCTCCTTTAAAAACAGGAGGTAATGTGCAAAAAGTTTAGACTTGTCATGGCAGTCTGTGGCTCTGTTTCCTATGGTTTATATCTCCAAACGCTGCTCAGATGTTCCTACTGCTGCTTTGCCATCGGTGAGAGCTTGGGTAGGACGTGGCAGTTGGCTGCACCGTGGCCACCTCCCATGGACACATTTAAGAAGAAACAGCCAAACCACAGCTGCAGGTCCTGCCCCTGAATGAAATGCTCTGCTATTTTGGTTTTGTTGAAAGTCCTCTTACAGTAGCAGTAGAGAAAAGTTATCCTTGTTGATTATCAGAATTTTATGATCCTAATCTTGAAACTCTGAACTCAGCAAGATCTTTAAGTAAGCAGTTTCCAGTTGATAGTGACTAAAAAAGTCATTGATTATGAGGAGGTTTAGATTTATGTAAATGAAAGAAGTGGCTGATTATAACAATTACTTGCCACAATAGAAGTCCTTGTTAGATCCAGGTTCTCAAAAGCTAAGTTATTTCAAGGAAACTGCAGTAAAAGATGGAAGAAGGAGGGAGGGGAAAACAGGGACAGGAAAAAAGTACATCAGGCACAATTATTTGATTCTAAAGCAGCCAAATACACAGATTAACATTTTATTGGGTTTGTTTGCATTCCGAAAGGAGTGATGAAACAATTATTTATTTTAAAGACAATTTTTTTTCAAGAGTATTATTTTCTGAGTGGAGAAAGTATCTCTAGTTTGACTCAGATTCCCATCTCCCAGCGCCAGGCTCTGGTGCCAGGTGCATTATCAGACTGGCAGTTTTCATCATTAATTTTCTTGCCAGAAGCAGCAGAATGCTGCAAATCTTTCTGAGGGCAGTGATGCAGAGTTGGCTTGGCGTCATATCGGGAGATGAGAAAAAGGACTTTCCATAATTCTGCCTGATCTTCTATTTATCTCTTTGCACATAGTATCTGTGCAGAGTGAAGTACCTTTAGGGTGTCCCAGCTACCAGCAATGCCATGGAATGCTTTTGAGACTATGGAAATTCGTCCTTTTGTAGTCATAAGGGGGGGGTGGGGATATGATAACATTAATAATTCTGTGGTTCTGTGAGATATTAGCCTGCAGAAAATTGATGAAAATCCTTTCATCACTGCAGACTGGGTTGAAATCGACATAGTTAGGATGCCTGTCTCATTTCATTTCAATGCATGCTGTAAAAAGGGCATCAAGTAACTTCTGTGTTTAATAGTTATGATAGAAAATAGAGGCTCTGGACTGGACTGATATGTGTCTCGCTTTCTAGCTGTGCAAACCCAGGTAAGTTATAGTTACCCTGTCTCAGTCTATCTTCTAAAATGGCAAGATACAAATCAGCAATGAAGAAGAGTAAAAGAGGCAGCAAACTGTCAGTCAGTGAGTTTCTTAAGCAATTCTCATTAAATTTTCACCCCTGTTTTATGGGTCAGAAATCTTGGCTCTCATCCTCTCTATTTACTAACATCATTTGTTGTGCCTCTGCAGTGAGTAAGTTATGCGGACATGTGCCAGCCTACTCCAGCTTTCTTGCAAGGCATGCACACAATTCAACTCCAGGTTTGTAAAGGGCTTGCTAGCCTTTAGTCAGAGCAGTGACAGAGTCAGGCACAGAAATGGATTTCCTGGCTTTTTCTGCACACTCTTCCAGTAAGACCAAAGTACCATTTACCACTGCAATTAAGCAAGTCTTTTTATTCTCCTTTATCATCAGTATTCCTTTGGCTTCCGTAAGTGCCATAGCTGCAGCTCTGCACAGTATGAAAGGAGAGTTCATGGATATTTTAATTTTTTTTCATAATAGGTTGTGAATATAGAAGGTTAATGAAGTTTCTCAAGTGGTGGCAGACCTCTAGAATATCTGTTATTGAGGGACTATTTTTATAACACTCACAGCAGAGACTCTTGGTAGTATAGTATTTGAGCAGTGTGTGATTTTACGGTTTTTTTCAAATCTATGAAATGAAGACGATACAGGATCTATTTTGAATTAAATTAGGAAAGTGCAACCTAATCCTTCAACTTAAGACTTGCAAACCCCAGTCTTCCTGTACACATTAATAATCAAGACAGCTGATTCAAGAAACTCATCTTATGAAAATAGCGGAGCATTTAAGTAACCTAAAAAAATAATAGCTGAAATTGTTTTAATAACACTTATTTACGTCTATCCCAGCAGATCAGGTTTTCTATTTGGAAAAGCCACACACACACCAGTCACACAAACACCGGCTATTGGAGCCACCAGTATTTTCCAGGGGGCTCCAATGCTAAACCTCACTGCTTCTTGTAAACTGGCAACTGGCATTTTGCAATTTTTTGTGAATCTAATTTTCTGCACTACTTGTGCACATGCTTTGGAGTTCAGGATTCTTGAGACTGCAGAACAAGTGAGACTTGCCATCTTGCCATTTATTTAATATAATAGTTTGTAATTTGCATTCCCAGAGGCATGTATGGCATTTCAAAAGCAGAATGTGACTTTGAAATGAAATATTATCTAATTATTGCATTTTTAATTGATGACTATTATTTTCATTGTCCTTCATATTTCTTACATGGCTTGTATTGCAGGTCTTGCCATATTCTCACTGATTCCATGCCCTATATAAGACATATTTCCACCTAATTTAAAATATTAACCTGATCACTAGTAGTTCCAAGAAGGGAGATGTATTATTCTGGTCTCGGAAAGAAGCCTCAAGCTCTAGATGCACAGAAAACAGTTTTGTGAATGTGACTGCTGCCTTCCCTCAAGCTATTGCAGTTTTCTTACTAATTTTCGTGGAACAAGAGGTTTACACTCTATTGTATTATCTGATATTCTGTGTCATTCCACCAGAATTAGCTACTAATAAAAATGGAAAATGAAGGCACCAAATACAGTCATGCATTAGAGTCCCATGTGAAGATACTAGCATGTGTGGCTCTTGGTGCTTTTCCAGGAGACTACCACATACAAGTTCATCCATTTGGCTTTTCTCTGTTGTAGGTTCCCCCTTGGTCCTACCCTTTCCCATTCCCATCTGGGCTGACTGACAGTAATGTCTAAATAACCAGCCTCTTCCTATTTCACGTGTCTTGCAGATCGATGAAATGCAGTGGGGCAAAGGCGTGCGTGAAGTGCCATCCTCAGTCTGCAGCCTGCCTTGCAAGCCAGGAGAGAGGAAGAAGATGGTGAAGGGGATGCCATGCTGCTGGCACTGTGAGCTCTGTGACGGCTATCAGTACCAGGCTGACGAGGTGACTTGTCTGCTCTGCTCATACAGCGAGCGGCCCAACGAGAACCGAACAGGATGCCGTTCGATACCCATTGTCAAGCTGGAGTGGCACTCACCCTGGGCTGTGATACCTGTCTTCTTAGCTATGCTGGGAATTATTGCCACCATTTTTGTCATGGCAACGTTCATCAGATATAACGACACTCCCATTGTCCGGGCTTCTGGGAGGGAACTCAGCTACGTCCTGTTAACAGGGATATTTCTGTGCTACATAATCACATTTCTGATGATTGCCAAACCAAACGTTGCAGTGTGCTCCTTCCGGCGTATCTTCTTGGGTTTGGGGATGTGCATCAGCTATGCAGCCCTGTTAACTAAAACAAACCGCATCTACCGCATATTTGAACAGGGCAAAAAGTCTGTGACTGCACCTCGGCTTATCAGCCCCACATCACAGCTGGCGATCACGTCGAGTTTGATATCTGTTCAGCTTCTAGGTGTCTTTATTTGGTTTGCAGTTGACCCACCCAACATCATCATAGATTATGATGAGCAGAAAACTATGAACCCTGATCAAGCCAGAGGAGTCCTCAAATGTGACATTACGGATCTACAAATCATTTGTTCCTTGGGTTATAGCATTCTTCTAATGGTTACATGTACTGTGTATGCCATCAAGACTCGGGGTGTCCCAGAGAATTTTAATGAAGCTAAACCCATTGGATTCACTATGTACACTACCTGTATAGTATGGCTTGCCTTCATTCCAATATTTTTTGGCACTGCCCAGTCAGCTGAAAAGGTAGGTGAAGATGAACAAACATGCATCTGATATATCAGGATTCATAACAGTTATAAACTACGTACTGATGGTCAGCTTTACATAGATTTTAAAATGAGCTATCCAGTTAGCTCTTGACTGAGACACATGATATATAGCACTTTTTTCCTTCTCCAGTTAGCTGGTGAGCTATTCACTTGATAAAGTGGCAAATGATCAATAACAATCACATTAACCATGAGTTTTATTGTTGCATACATTTCAGTTGTATCATTTCAGTAGGGTAAGTGAGAATTAGCTGTCATATTGTCCAGAAAGAAGCATCTCTTAACTAAATCATTTTGAATACAAGATGTAAGCAAAAAAAGTGTCAAAAAGCAGTCAAATAGACTCCTGTGCTTCTGGAGTTCAGCACTAAGGGCAGTGCATACCCTGATGAATGAGTGTTCTGTTTCACAGACAGCAGCCTCGGGGCGTATTTACACCACAGGGTAAATAGTCTGTTCTGAGCTCCAGCTGCGGAGCCTAGAGTGACACTGCATTCCGCGTGGGTTGTTTTTAAACTAACTCAGGTGAAGTCTACCCCATAGCTCATGGCAAGGATGTAACCAGACCTGGAGTGAATGCCAGGCCACTTCCCTTTATAAGTGAGGTTTACTTAAGCCCATGGCATTCCTTCACCAAAAGCCAGTCAAAAATGTTACACTTAAGTGACTTAAGAAAAAGCATTCAGACATTAAGTTCTAATCCATTAGTTGGATTGTTAAGAAAATGAATTATTGTAAAGCGCTGTCAGACTCAATTAAAAGATTTCCACTAGCTTTGAGAGACTTCATATGCTGCAGGGGAATCTGCTCTGTGGTGTGTCAGTCACCCGGCTCCAGTGGGCACCACTCCCATCCTGTGCTCCCAGCTGCTCCAGCACTGGCAGCTGAGGAAAGGAGGTGGGCAGCTTAGGAAAATACACCTTGGCAATCAGAGCAGATGTGCATATGAAGAGATGCAAATCTTGGTCAGCTTTGGGCTTTGCTGCCAACAGAAATCACATTTGAAGTGCTCTTTGTAAATATACCACATCAGCTCTGCAGGAACCAGGAGTTAGCTGGGGTCCTAACCCAGCATGCTGCAGCGGATGCTGTAGTGGTTTAGGTACAAATGTGAACAGCCTCTCTCTTGTCTTACACAAAGCAATAAGGAGAAAGTCCCTTCTTTTTATATTTATTGGTGGGGATGGTGGCCTTGGAGAAAGCATGCTATAAGAAACGGTCAGAGGACAATGTGATTCATTCCCCAAAACATTGTTGGAAGGTGTGTTGGCAAGAAAAAAACCTTTTCAGTTTGCAGTATTTAAAAAGGGAGAACCTTAGTAGCTCTGTGAGTTTTGAGTGAACAGTATTCAAGTAATGAAAAATGTACCTACTATTGTGATGTGTAGAGCTGAATCACTGTGGCTGAGTATTGCAACTTCAGTTACCTCCTGGCTCTTGGGCCCCCTCTGCCTGTTCCTGTTGCTGCTCAAGTGGCTCCAGCTAATACTTGGTGATAGAGCTCTCTTTGGACTTGCTTCTCTCTGAATCTTGTCTGAAGATAGCTGTAATTTGAGTGATTTGCAAGCCTAGTCCTTAGGGAGAAATGAAAATCTTAGGCTGTCCTGAACTGTTGTCACTCTGTTTTACCCTCCCCAGCCCTGACTCCATCTGCTTTCCCAGCCCAGAGGAAACCACTGCCATGCCTCCTCACCTGTGCATACTCTGGCTGAATTTAGGCATCATTGACCTCACCTCAAATGCTCTGACAGATTTAAATGGATTTAGTAGTGTACTGTCAGTTATCCCCACTTACTGAATCCAAGCTTCTTCCCTGTACCAGAAAGAGCTTTGACTTCTTGCTCCCTTTTTTCCACCTCTGTCTTCATTTTTGTTCTTTAACATGAGACTTGGGCAAGCTCACCACTGTGAATAAAATTATTGCATGTTTTCAATGAGTGAGCAAATGTCAGATCCCAATTAACACATCTCATTTTATGCCAGGGGTATAATTTCCAAATTTGCAGTGTTAAACTTGCAAGCTATTGAAGTATAATTGCAGGACAGTGGTGCCATTCGGGAAAGTCTGTGCTTTGGCTACAAGTCTCTTCCGTAGGATGGTGCCTATACCAGAGCTTTGTTCTTTGCTGTTCAGGAAGTGATGGTACAGAAATTGCAATTGCTTTGGCTTCAGTTCACTGGTGAAAGAGGAGATCACTTAGGTGGGAGCAGAGGTTGTAATGGTTTTCATGTATCATCTCACGTCTGCAGTGGGCTTCACAGGCAGCCACTGCATCCCTAAAGGGAATTAATTTCAACTGGAAAGGAGGTCTGCCAAGTCTTACAAATGCTTCAAACACCTCTATTCTCCCTGTCGAGGGAGAGATAAGAAACAGCATAAGCAGCTTTAAGCGCAGTTGGGCCCATTTGTAACTTTGGTCTGGAGCAAGGAGTACAGTGCAGCTTTTGTGCTCCCTGCCTGGGAATGCTTTAGGCCTGCAGGTGACCGAGATGAAGTGCTTTAAAATGTTGTCTACAAAGATTTAACTAGGTGATAGAAAGACCCAAAGAATTTCAAAGACTGCTGCCAGCATTCAAAATCATTTCATAGCGAAAGCTATGGTTTCTATGTAGTCATAGAGCTGAATTACCCTGTACTACTTTGAAAGCATAAGATTCTTGTACAAGTGTGTGTAGGTCAGCAAAAGAGATGATGATTAACTCAGTTTCACACAGGGCACAGGAGAGGGAGCTGGGCAACAGGAACAGCTCTTCACTTTGCTGTCCTGCTGCTGCTACTTGGTGCGCCTCCAGCAGGGGTGTGCTGGGGACTCTGCTACCTGCTGGCTGTCACAGCCCAAACTTCCCATGCTGCTGGGACTGACTGCAATTCCTGGGACTGAGAGCTGCTGTATTTTGACCAACAAACTGCCCCATGTTGGGTAGCACATTTGATCCAGGCTCTGTGCCAGACCCGAACGCTCCATCAATAGCTTTGCTGGGGCTCTTTCCCCCTTCTGCTCTTCAAAGAGATCGAGCTGCAGTAGCTTTCCTGCTTTGCTTTCTCTGACTCTCATTTTTGAGCGGGGAAGAGGGGATTGTGCTTTTTTGTGATTGCTAGTGATTTCCTGTCAGGTATTTTCTCTGGAAAATATTGTGCTAAGCTTAGCCACCCAGGTCGTTGCTGAAATGGAAATTGCACCTGCTGAAAATCTCATGCAACACAATCTTTTAAACTGAGAAATGGTGTTATATATAACATTGTGATTTTCATTGTATGGATTTATTTTATCAATAAATACAAGCATAATGTTGCTTGGTAGAAAGCATATTGAAAATACCTACCTTGTTCAGTGTAGAAAATAACAGCAGCAACAGCAAAAAAAACAAACTAGAAGTATGCTGCAAGTAATTCATAAAAGGCAAATAATTCAAGTAGTAGCATTTGCAGCAGACTGGAGGGAAACGGTATGGTTTGAGGAGGCCAGATATCAGAGTCTGTGCTACACATTGGAGATAAAACATGAGGTGTATGGGAGGTGGCACACAGAAAAAGTAGATTCATAACCTTCTTACAGCTTGCATTTACTCAGCCAGTTTCTTTCCGTTATCTAAAAATTCATAAATCACCTGTTCAGTTATAATTTATAGGGTTGGTTTGGTAATCCAGCACGTTGTTTCCTAGTGGGGGTGCAGTATGGTCCTTACCACATTTCACCGTTCCTTGAGTTTCATCAGCTTTGATGCAATGGTCACATAGCCATTACTCCATACATGGGCATCATTGCTGTTGTCTAGGGTTTGGGGGTTGTGTTTTGGGGTGAGGTGGTTTTTGTGTTTTCCTGTAACTATTAGTGTACATTCTAAAATGCTGATGTAACTTTTGAGGACCAGGACACAGTATTGGGGACTGGAATCATGCCATGCCTTGGCTTACAAAGATACTTCCTTTAGCATGTATTTGGTAGAAAGCCACTAAATATAAAGAGGAGTCCCTGCAGAAAAGAAAGGGTCACTTACTGTTCAGCTCTGAGCAACTCCTAACTATCAAAACCATCATCAGCTGAAGTCAGTGGGTTTTGGGGGTTGAGGACCGGGGACGATGTCAATCCCCATCAATGTCCAGCTCCTGCTTTGGCGTTGCTCAGCTTGTTAACCCAAACGTTTGTAGGGGGACTGTAGGGATGAAATGCTACTTTTATGGTCCTGGAGTAATTGTTTTTGACAATAAAACTATTTTAAATTCTCTGTGGATGTGTGGGTATCTTATCAGAAGGAAAGTGGCCTCAAAGAGCTGTTAAACCAATTATAGGAGTCATAGCTCCACAGCAGAGTCAATACAAAGTGGCACTTGAAAAGAGCACAGATTGCTCAGTAAGGTCAGGCAAAGCACGGCTAAATCAATAAGCCAAATTGAGTCAAAATTTTAGTGTATGGAAGTGAAAGGATGGGAAGGGATGCAGGTGGTGTGGGAATGCATCCTGCGGGAAGCTGTGCCTCACACCCTGCCCTGCGCAGTCCTGCACTGGAGATTGATTAGTCCCTGCAGCCTCTTGGCTGGTTGTTCAGTCGCTTTTACTTTGATTATCTGATTTTTAACTCATTTCCAGAGGCAGGGCACTGCAGTAGGGGATTGCCAGGGCTGGTAGGGACCAGCATTTTGGGGCCAAGTCCTCATGCTCTGTCCCTGCATGCAGCACAGTGACGTCTGCCATGCTCCACCTTGCACAGTGCCTCACACAGGCTCAGGATGCTGCCGGGGGGATGCTGCGTTAGCTCCTTCCATTGTGAAGGCTGTTCTCTGGCAGCGTGCTGCTGTTGAGTGATATTTCAGGAGCTGCATTTGAGATTAACCTGGTTTCATGAAGTCACATGTTTTCATTTCATGGGGGGTTTTATTGTTTTCCTTTTACAGCTAGTGCAAAGGGCAACAGGATGGCAGAGCATGGGATATGCTCTAATGCATCTTGGAAATGCCACTTCACAGGTGGCAGT